CCCACTTAGGAAGGTGCCACCCACTGTTCTTGGGCCCCTCTGTCGTCTCTGGACACAGCTGGACACCAGGTCTTTCAGTGCCACTACCATCACCCACTGCCTCCCTCTGGGGACATGAAACTGAGCCTAAGACTGCACCCAGGCTTCGTCTGTCCGCAGTCCAGGCGGACGCTGGACAGCAGTAGAGGGGAACAGAAGCCACTAGGGGAGGCTGCTGGGCCATCGCCAGTGGACATGGTGTGGCCCTGCAGTCACCTGGAGAAAATCCTCTCTCTCTCTCTTACACACACACACAGAGGTAATTTGTTCATAACATATAAAGACTAGTGAAAACCAAAGAACCAAGTCATGATGTTATTTGTAAAACCTCAAATATTGAGTCTGCAGTGCTAAATACCTGCTGTACTCCTGAACTGTGATTAAGAAGTATGGGGGATGTTTAAATTTTAAATTTGTCATTACAGTCACCTGCAGATCAATGGAACAGATTAGAAGATGCAAAAACAGGGGCTGAGGATTTAGCTCAGCGGCATAAGCATCTGCCTTGCAAGTGTGTGGTCCTGAGTTCGATCCCCGGTACCAATAAAAAAGAAAAAGACAAAAAAGAAAAAAAAAAAAGAAGAAGATGCGGAAACAACTGCAGACACACTCAGCCACCTTACCTCCTTACCTTTGACAAAGACGCCAAACACATTGACTGGAAGAAAGATGCCACTTTATTTATTTTTAAGACGGCCTCTTTAATAAATGGAAAATTGGAACAACTGGCTCTACACATGCCAAAGGTTAAAACTGGACCCGTGTCTTTCATCAGGTAACAAGCGAAAATTGGACTGGGTCAAAGATCTTGATTTTAAAACAGAACATTAAATCTGTGGGAAGATGGAGTAGGTAAAGCTCTTGAAGACATCAAAGTAGGCACAGAGTTTATGAACAAAACCCAGATTGCACAGAAACTGTCACAAAGAATCAACACCTGGGATCTCACCTTCCTGAAAAGCTTTCACCCTGCCAGAGAAACCACCAACAAGGGCCAGGGGTTTAGCTCAGTGGCATAAGTGCTTGCTTGGCAAGCGCAAGGTCGGGAGTTTGATCCCCGGTATCAAAACAACAACAAAACACACCAGCTGAGGGAAGAGACAACCCACAAGGTGGGAGAAAATGTTTGCCAGCGTTTCCTCAGATAAAGGAGTACTATCAAGAACATATAAAGAACTCAAAACAATCAGTCCTCCCAGATAAAGTCCCAGCCCAAAAATGGGCATCTGAGATGAATACACACTTCTCAAATGAACAAATACAAACAGCAAATAAATATGTGAAAAAATGTTCACATCACTGGTCATTCGAGAGATGCAAATTAAAGCAGCACTGAATTCACCTCCACCCTGAAAGAATGGTGACTATCAAGAAATCAAGCAATAACAAATGCTGAAGGGGCTGTGGGGAAAATGGAACTCTTCTCCATCGCTGGTGGGAGTGCGGACTGGTGTAACCACTGTGGAAATCAGTGTGGAGATTCCTCAAAAAACTAGGATTGGCAGTTCCATTCAACCCAACTCTTTCCCTTCTAGGTATCTCCCAAAAGAATTGAAAACATCATACCACAGTGATGTATGTGCACCCATGTTTATAGTAGCACAGTTTACAATAGCCAGATCTTGGAAACAACCTAAACGCCCATTGACTGAGGGGTGGATAAAAAAGATGTGGTATTTTTTCTGCCCTGAATAGTCTCAGTGAAAAAAAAAAAAAAAAAGAAAGAAAGAAAGAAAAAAAAAGATATGGTATTTTTATACAGTGGAGTACTATTCAGCTATAAAGAATGATAAACCAGCCACTTTTTTATTTTACCTGTGCCAGGGATTGACCATGCGCTTGCAAGGCAGGTGCTTATGCCACTGAGCTAAATCCCCGGTGAGTTCACTATTAAGTTGAAGGCAGACATCTTGTGCTCTGGGTGAATGATTTGGGGATGACAATGCACAATGTATGTACCATTGTTATCTCCTGATTGAAATTTTGTTGTAGTTTTTTCCTTTTTCTTTTTCTTTCTTTTTATGTTTGAATAAAATGGATTTTTAAAAAACTCATTACAGTCAAAGACACATGGCAATTTACTTCCAAATCTTCCCTCTTTCTATGAACATACTTAACCATAGTCCAGGCTGCTGTGGACACGCAGTTCTGCAAGTCCTCTTTTGTGAGGGTCTTTAGTTGCACTGTTGCAGCTGCCCGGATGTCCTGAATCGATTAAAAACACTTCCCTTTCACGGTCATGGTAACTTGGGGGAGAGCCAGAGGTTGCACGGTGCAGATTCGGTGAATAAGGTGCATAAGGACCACCATAGCGTATTCAGAGCCTGCCTCTCTTGGGACGGTGCTCATAAAGGAAACTTGCGGTGGTTTTAATCTAACCTCATGAAGACACTCAGGAAAGAGCATCCCCAGAGCTGTGTCAGAGAGGTGCGAGACTGGTGGAGGAAGCGTGTTCCAAGGGGCAGGATTTTGAGGGGGATTTAGGACAATTTTTTTACTATAATAAAATTTTAGTATTTAATTTTTTTGTGGTGCTGAGGATCAAACCTAGGGCCTTAAGCATGCAAGGCAAGGACTCTATCAGTGAGCCACATCCCCGGCTCTGTAATAAAAAATTTTAAAGGTTGTCCAGATGGAGTCTTCTGACGTAGTTCAGGCTGTCCTCAAACTCATAGCATTCCTCCTGCCTCAGCCTCCTGAGTGCTGGAACTATGGGCGGGACCTCCCAGTCCCAGCTAAGAAGCCGGCTGTTTTAGGAAAGAACTGCAGGCTGGGGGGTCCAGCAGGACCTGGGGGTGGGGTCCAAGCTTCTCAAACTCCCTGTATGGAGTCCCTTGGGGTTGAAGAAGAATAAGGAGTAAAAGGAGTTTCTGGCTGCCCTTAGGATCCAGTGGGAACCAGGGTTACAAAGGCCCAGGGAACCCTGCGGGAGGGGAGGGGACCCTGCTGCCCCTGAGGCACAGGGCTGAGAGCAGGTGAGCAGGTTTCCTTGGCAGGAGGGCAGAAGGGACAAAGGGGAAACGGGGTGCTAAGAGCTGAATGTGCACCCCCAAGCTTGTTGAAATCCTAACTTCCCGCCATACATGGTGGTGCACGCCTGTAATCCCAGCACTCAGGAGGCTGAGACAGGAGGATTGTAACAAGTTGGAGACCAGCCTGGGCTACAAAGTGATCACAAGTCTCAGAAGTTTCAGAAGTCTCAGAAAGACAAAAAAGAAAAGAAAAAAAAAAAAAAAAAAAAAAAAAAAGAGAGAGAGAGAGAGAAAAAAAACCCTACCTTCTTTTTTTTGTCTTTTTCCTTTTTATCGGTACCAGGGATCGAACTCACAACTGCTTGCTTGCAAGGCAGGAGCTAAATCCCCAGCCCCAACCCTACCTTCCAAAGCGACTTTGTTGAGATGGTACCTCTTGGAGGGGACTGGGGGATGAAAAGGTGCACTCACAAGTGGAACTAGTGCCCCTCTCTGGTACTGGGGACGGAACCCAAGGCTTTCTTACTGAACTACAATCCCCAGTCCTTTTCCAGTTCTGACACCGGATCTCACTAAATTGCTAAATTGCGCAAACCGGGCTGGACCTTTGGATCCACCTGCCTCAGCCTCCCAAGTGCTGAGCTTACAGGCGTGTGCCACCACGCCTGGCAGAGAGAAGAGAGCTGCTTGCCACCCGTGGGGACACAGAGGGAGGTTGAGTCCGCAGCGTGGAGCAGGCCTCATTCGGAGCTGGGAGCAACAAACTCTGACAGCTTCCAACTGCCCAGGTTCGGGTGTTTCCAGCACAAGAGGGAGAGGCCTGATGCTAAAGACCCTGCCATGCCCAGGACAGCCCCGCGCCTAGGGGCGCGCCCTGAGCCGCGTCCTCAGGTGCCAGTGTTAACGCAAGGTGCGGACGCCCAGGCCGGGAACCCAGGCAGCGCCGGCTGCGGTACGCAAGCACATGGCGCCACCTCGCGGCAGTAGTGCCAACCACAACGGCAGGAGCTTCGAGAAAGAGACTTAGTAAAAATAATCAGCAGAAGGGTCTGGAAATCGAGGACAGGCTGTCCACACAGAGGTTGCTAAGGCAAGGAAGCCAGCCACCCTCGCTTGCATTTGTCAGAGATTCAAATGTACGCGGATGCTGCTGGTGGGAGAGATGTGGCGGGGGGGGGGGGTACAGTTCCAAGAACGGTGCAGGAATTGGAAGTGAGTGGGGAAGAGGGGGAGATGCCCGGGCATCTCATTGAGTTGGTCAGCAGCGGGGTAGGTTCCCTGGGGTCGGTTCAGGTTTGGGAGTGGTGTGAGGATCAGGGCGATGGGCAGTCATTGGCAATCACTGGCCGTTGCTGTTGGGGGGCTCCTGCCTCAGAGGCCTGGGTCAGAGTTCTGACAGACATGTCCCCGTGCATATTCCGTTGTTCCTCTGTGTATTCAATCTCTTTATTTATTACTCATTCTATTTTTTTTTTTTTTTTGGAGACAGAGTCTTGGGACATAGTCATCCTCCTGCCTCAGCCGCCTAAGAGCTGGGATTATGGGTGTGAGCCACTACCTCCAGCTCTACAATTAGCACATATTTTGGGGGACTCAATTAGCATTAGTTGAATGCACCTAGTCTTCCCTAGAATGCTGGCCCCGCACAAACACGATTAATCAATAGGAGTTGTCAGAGGAGATAGACAGAGGCTGAGGCAGAGGGACAATGGCCCACCTTCCGGTCTCAGAAGGTGCTTCTAGGTCGGCGACTCTGAGACCCGGCGCGTATTCGCACCGCGTCTCCTTTAAGGGGCGGGCACGGGCGCTCCCGGAAGCGGCTGGTGCTGACCTAGGCGCCGGGGCCGCGCTCAACGATCCCGGGCCCGCGCTGCCGAGACGCCTGTATTCTCGTCCGACCAGCCCCTGCTGCGGCCTGGCGCGCGTCCTGAGTCCTGTGATCCCGCAGACCCCGCCAGGGGGCGCCCGTGCGGCTCCCAGGCTCCCCGCGCCCCCCAGCGCCAGCGACCTCCGGCCGGGCCGAGGGGCCTGGCGGCGGCGCGGGTGCTGCTACCAGGCGGGCCGCGGGCCGACTACCCCGCGCGGTCCCTCGCCGGCCATGGAGGTCCCCTAGGGCGCGGGCGGGCATGGGGACGCCGTGGCGCCTGTCCGCCAGGGTCTGCCTGTCTCAGCTGCGGGGTCTGGGGCGCGCGCAGGAGCAGGGCCTCCTCGGAGCCCCGGGGCGAGCCGGCCGGGCCCGGCTCTGCTGGCTGCTGCTGGGCGCGCTGCCCGCGCTCGTCTCGGCCGAGGGTGGCCCCGGGATCGGGGCTTGGGCCGGGCGGGCGGCGCCGGCAGGGCGCCGGGCTGAGGACGCACTCCCGGGAGGGGTCCACGCGCCACTGCCGCGCCGCGTCCTTCTGCACCCGCGCGTGTGGCTGCGCGCCGGCGCGCTCCTGGCGCGGTTCCTGCCGCTGCTGCTGCTGCTCCCGCTCACCTACCTGGGGCCCAGCCTGGCCGAGCTCTGGCTGCGCCTGCTGCTCAAGGCCACTGAGGCCTCCGGCCCCACGTGCATCAAGCTGGGTCAGTGGGCCAGCACCCGGCGCGACCTCTTCTCTGAAGCTTTCTGCGCCCACTTCTCCAGGCTGCACGTCCGCGTGGCCCCGCACCCGTGGGCGCACACAGAGCGCTCCCTGCAGCAAGCACTCGGGGACAACTGGGGGCACGTCCTCTTCTTTGAGACCCGTGAGCCTGTGGGCTCCGGCTGCGTGGCCCAAGTGTACAAGGCATTTGCTAGCCCCGCACTCCTGGAGGACAGCCCAGCTCGGGGACCGGATGAGGCTTCTGGAGCTGGAGTGGTGGTGGCACTGCGAGAACTCTTTGGAGCCCTGGGAAGGGAGCGGAAGCACCCCGGGAACCTCGCGGACCAGGTCCTTCTAGAGCGGCTGCTGCTACCCACTGCCAATCCGGGTGGGCGTCAGACCCCGGACCAAGCACCCCGACCACATGGCCTCGTTCAGGTGGCGGTGAAAGTAGGTGCTTCTTAGCTTCACCAGCCCCATCCATCTCCAGCAGCTGGTGACTTCCCCAAGCCTGGCACCCCCGTAGGGGCACCCCCAGCTGCAAACAGGCTGAGGTCCCTTCTCTGAATGCTCAGGAGGACAGGAGTGTTGGATTTTGGAATATTTGTATATACAAAATGAAATATCCTGGGAATGGGACCCACATCTCCACAGGAAAGAAGTGATTGGTATAGTCATGGTCTTAAGAGAATCCTTGGGCATTTTTAGTGTACCGTGTTAGGACTTCAGCCCATCACCCGAGTGTGATGCATCAAGTGTGCAGATTTCTACTTGTGACATCACATCAGTGCAGTATTTGAAAAGTTTTGGACTTTGGCACAGCATGGTGGTACACACCTGTAATCCCTACACTCTGGAAGGCTGAAGCAGGAGGATAAAAAAGTTTGAGCCCAGTCTGGATAGTTTAGGGACTTTCTCAAGACCCTGTCTCAAAAAAGGGGGTCAGGAGGACTGGAAGTTTAGCTCAGTGGTGTAAGTGACAAAAATGAGGTCATGAGTTCAAATGGTACCAAAAAAAAAAAAAAAAAGAAAAGGAAAAAGGGATTCTGAGATATAGCTTAACACAAAGTCCCTGGATTAGCCCCAGTACAAAAAAAGAAATCTTGGAGATTTTTGGGTTAGGGCTGCTCTTCTCTTCTGACATTATACTGAGTACTTGCTGTGTATAAGCTGCTGTATTTTTAAGCATTAGGAAACAGCGGTGTGAACTGGCCAGTGAGGGGTTGGAGTTCACTGTTGGGAGGAGGGACTGTCGCCTGGGCCCCTGACCCCTTTGCAGGTGGCACCCAACGCTGGCCCCTACCTCCCCTCCCTGCAGGTGCTGCACCCAGGCCTGCTGTCCCAGGTGCAGGTGGACCTGCTGCTGCTGAAGATGGGCAGCCGAGCCCTGGGGCTGCTACCGGGATTCCAGTGGCTCAGCCTGCCTGAGATCGTGGAGGAATTTGAGAAGCTCATGACCCAACAGGTGAATTCTCTTAGCTCTATTTCCAGTGAGCTGCAATTAGTTGGGTGGTGATGTTGGCTGTAAAATGAAGTATTTGCAGCAAAACCAGAGGTGTCCATAACCAAGCACCCTCCTGGCCTGGAGCCTGAATCGGGGAGCTAGTACCCGCCTGAAAAAAAACATTAAAATGGAGCCGGACATGTGGCACGCATGTATACCCTCAGCTACACTGTAGGCTAAGGCAGGAGGGCTGAGACCCTCTTTCAAAAAGCTGGGGGTATAGTTCAGTGGCAGAGCAACTTTGAGTTCAGTCTACACTACCACAAGCCAGAACATAGAACTAAGTTTATTTTGAAGTCTGACAAATGTGAGGCTGTTGCAAACAGCAGTGATAGAGTTGAGGCAGTGGGAGGCGAGCAGGGCAGTCCTTAGGTGGAGAAGCCGGCCTGCAATTCCTACAACCAACCAGGCATCCCCCGTCTGCAGGGGACAGGAGTTCCAGTGGAGATCTGGGACAGCTGCCAGCCGTGGCTGTCCTCGTGGTCAGGCAGGCTCACCTTGTCTCTGTGTTCCCCTAGATCGACCTGCGTTATGAAGCTCGGAATCTAGAACACTTCCAGCGCAATTTCCGGGATGTGGCCTCGGTCAAGTTCCCCACGCCTTTGCGCCCCTTTGTCACCAGTGACATCCTGGTGGAAACCTATGAGGTGAGTCTGGCTGTGCCCTTCCCTCTGGAGGGGACTCTTGTTTGGAAACAAGGGAGGATGGGGAGCGTGGTCAGAAGGGGCAGGGGCACAGCCCTGCCTGGAGCCACAGACTCCTTAGGTTTCATGGGACAGGTCTCACTGGGCAGTTCAGGCTGGCCTTGTCTTGCTATGTAGCCAGGCTGGTTTTGAACTCATGGGATTCTTTTGCCTCATCCAGGAAGTGCAGAAGCAGGAAGTGGGCCCCTGGTGAATAGGCCTCCATGGGGCATGGGTACCTGTGCCAAAGCTACCACTGAGATGGACCTTGTCACCCTTCACGAACAAATAAAAGAAAAGCCCAAGACTGCAAACCACTTGTGCCCTTCTCTAGGTCATTAGTGAATAGGATGGCAGAGAAGGTTTTCAAAGGAGTCTGCAGGGTATGGTGACACACACCTGTTATCCCAGGACTCGGGTGGCTGAGGCAGGAGGGTTGCCTTGAGGTTGAGGCCAGCCTGGGCTACATAGTGAATTTAAAGCCAGCCTGAACTTCATGGTGAGTCAAAAACAAACATAAAGGAAATGTAAATAAGTTAAAACCAGCATGTAGGTGACAGATTCCTAAATTGCTATAAGATCAGACTTTGAGTATATCAGTTAGGGTTTAGGAGAAACAGATATATAAAACCCAAAATGTGTAAATTTTGTTGTAAAAAAGAGAGGGAAAAAAAGAGCTCTAAAGGATACAACAGCAAGTGTGTTTAGGGGTGTTAAATAGCTGACCATATTAATGTTTTTGGTTGGATCATTGAACACAACTGTTTGCAGTCTCACTGTTTGAGTGTCCACTTTGTATGCTATGATACTGTGATTTGAGCAACTATCTCTAAGATGATAATATGTAATCTGTTAACTGGTGATTTCTTACTGTTTTTTTTTTGTAGTTCTGTATTACTTGTACCCTTATACTGCTTTGTTTTGTTTTGTGTTTTTCTCTTTTTCCTTTTAAATAAAATTAAAAAAGGAGAAACAGATACAATACAAGATATATAACTGTATAAGAAATACAAGATCGGCGTACAGTGGTCAGCCACAGAGTTGAATGTGGGAACCTGCAGATGATGCCTGCATGCTAGAGGGTCCAGCCGAAGGGCTGGGGCTTACTGCAGTGTCCCGTGCAAGTCCGTATCAGGAGGCTGATGGGTCTGCGATAGGAGGCTGAAGAATCTATGATGGAAGGCTAGAGAGTCTTCTACAGGGAAGGCTGAGGCAGAAGTCTCAGGCAGAAGCCAACTGTTTTGTGCAGAAGCCAGCAGAAGACGTCTAAGCTGAAAAGGAAGACCAGAGCTCCTGCAAAGAGGCAGCAATTAGTCTCTTTTTATTTGCCTTTTAAATGTGTGCAGGCTGCTCTCCTGGGATGGGTTATACTCCCGTCTGCCTGCCCTCCTCTATTTATTTATTTATTTATTTATTTATTTATTTTTGTCCTTTTCCTTTTTATTGGTACCGGGGATCGAACTCACGACCACCTGCTTGCAAGGCAGGTGCTTAAGCCGCTGAGCTAAATCCCCAGCCCCTTTTTAAAAATTTTTTATTCTTTATTTTTTTGGCTGCCTTCTTCTTGCACAGGCTGAGGATGTTACAAACTGGGGACCCTGACCCCCATCACTTGGTTAAAGTTTTGACCTTTTTTTTTTTTAGTTTTAACCTTCTTAAATTAACACAGTGACCCATACCTTAGATTGGTGACTTTTCTACACCTTAGCAGGTAGAGCTGTTATATCACTTAGTTAAGTTTTAAACGTTCTAAGTTGACACAGTGTGTGAACCCTAACACTGAGTCTGCTCTCAGTCAACAGGAAGGAAGCCAGGCCCGTGTGTCCCTGGCACAGGGCACAGGGGCAGAAGGCAGGGCATGGGTGACAGCTAAGCTAATGCTCTCTCTGGCCCTTCCAGGAAAGTGTGCCTGTGTCCAGCTACCAGCAGGCTGGGATCCCCGCCGAGCTGAAGCAGAGGATCGCGAGGCTGGGCATCAACATGCTGCTGAAGATGGTGAGCAGGGTAGGGCAGGGCAGGGCAGGGGCAGCTCGGCTGGGCATGGATGGTAAGGCCAGCAGGGACCTGTGCCTGTGGGAAGGGTTGAGCAAGGCCGAGTCCCTGACACAGAGTAAACTCAGGGTCTTGGTGCTGAGTCTGTACCCAGCCTTTTTTTTTTTGTCTTTTTGAGACAGGGTCTCGCTGTGCAGTTCATGCTGGCCTTGAGCTCACTTTGTAGCCTAGGCTGGTCTGAACTCACAACAATCCTCCTGCCTCAGCCTCCCGAGTGCTGGGATTACAGGTATGAGCCACCATGCCCGGCTCTGTACCCAGCCTTTTATTTTTTATTTTGAGAGAGGATCTTGTTAAGTCACTAAATTACTCATGCTGGGCTCAAACTTTTGCTCCCTCTGCCTCAGCCTCCCATAGTGCTGGGATTATAGGTGTGTACCACCATATTGGGCTGGTGTTGATTCTTTCTTTCTTTCTTTCTTTTTTTTTTTTTTTTTTTTGTCTTTATAGATAGGGTCTTGCAATGTAGTTCAGGCTGGCCTTGAACTCACTAATATAGCCCAGGCTGCCCTCCAACTCATGGTGATTCTCCTGCCTCAGCCTCCCAAGTGCTGAGACTACAGGCATGAGCTGCTACAGCAGGCTGCTGTTGATTCTTGAACATGGTTGGGCGTCTCCATCCCGGGGAGCCCACCATGTGCCGGAAGTGGGCTCTGCAGGGCTAAGGCCTGTGAGCCTGGCTGTGCCGGGAGCCTTTCCCCTCCATAAAAGCTGGAGCAGATGTTCTGGTGGGTATGACAGCTGGGGCTGTGGTAGATTGTCACAGCTGGGGTGGTTGCCCCTGGTTACCAACCTGCCCTCTGCTCCCCTAGCCTCAAACTGAGAGGCAGTGCTGGGGCATAGAAAGCCCAGTGTGGGACGTGGGGATTCAGAGGCTCCACATCCTCGGGAGGGGTTGGACAGGAGGCTTGCTGCTTGGGGACCAGGAAGGCGTGCACAGGAAGCCTGGCAGGCAGCTGGGCAGTGCAGGGACAGCCCCTGGTGGTGAGGAGGCCAGGCTGGTGTTGCTGCACCTGTATGCATTCTGACCTCGGCTCTGCTCCAGAGCATTGGCATAGAGAGGGGAGACTGAGGCAGGTTACTTCCTTGGTCAGTAGGCTTCATCTTCAAGGGCCTGGCTCGTGGGTACTACAGCTGAGCACGAGTTAATGTCTCCAGGAGGACACTGTGCTATGGTAATGGTGACATCATACCCAGGGGGAGCAGAGAAGATGCCAGCTGACCCAGGGCCTGGGACAGAAGACAGTGGCTGAGGGATGGGTGACAAGGTCCAGCTGGCTGGGGGAAAGGATGTTGGCCACTCCCCTCGGCCCCTGGGGAGGAACTGCTGATGGCTGGTGATTTTTGTCTTTTTTTTTGTCTTTTTTGTTTTTATCGGTACCAGGGATCGAATTCACAACTGCCTGCTTGCAAGGCAGGCGCTTATGCCACTGAGCTAAATCCCCAGCCCCGATTATTATTTTTTTTTTTTTATCGGTACTGGGGATCCAACTCACAACCGCCTGCTTGCAAGGCAGGTGCTTATGCCGCTGAGCTAAATCCCCAGCCTACCCAGCCCCGATTATTGTCTTTTGCTACAAGCCTCCCTGACGCCAGATGAGGGAACAGTCCGGTGTTTCAAACTTTTTTTTCTTTTGGAGGTAAGTCTCACTGTGTTGCCAGGACTGCTGTCCAACTCCTGGACTCAAGTGATGCTCCTGCCTCAGCCCCCTACATGCTGGGATGGAGGTTTGTGCCACGAGGCCCAGCTGTATGAACTGCTTTGGAAGAAATGTAGTTCAGCTGGGCATGGTAGCACAGACCTGTAATCACAGCATGGGGATTAGGCTGTGATGGGAGGATTGCAAGGTTGAGCCCAGCCTTGGCAAATGGGCAATACAGTGAGACTCTGTGTCAAATAAACAATACAGGAGCGGCTGGGAAGTATCCCTGTGTGTAGGCTCGAGGTTCAGCCCAGCACTGAGGGCCAGCAATACAGCTCTGGATAGAACTTCCAAACAAGGAATTGATAATGTTTCTTAACTTAGAACATTAATGACTCAAACTGTAAGGAAAACATACAGTCCATCTTATTCATTATTTTGAAAATCATTTTTCTCTTTAAGAACTGCAGCTTGGTTCATTCACTGTGCATTTCCTAACTGGTGTCCTGCAGACGGGCTTCACTCCCCTCCCTGTCACTGGGACGCTTGTCCTGCAGGAGGATTGGTGGGGCTGGCTGGTCCTGTCACAAGTTACATGTCTCCTTCCAGATATTTGTGGACAACTTCGTGCATGCGGACCTGCACCCCGGGAACATCCTGGTGCAGGGCACCGAGGGGCTGTCCCTGGGCCATGAGGCCCAGCTGCAGCAGGTGGGCCTCTGTGACCCACTGGTGGCAGTGGTGGCACCAGCCTTGTGCCCGCTGCGCCTGGTGCTGCTGGATGCCGGCATTGTGGCTGAACTACAGGCTGCTGACCTGAGGAATTTCCGGGCTGTGTTCCTTGCCGTGGTGCTGGGCCAGGTGAGAGTTGCTGGGTGGCATCTTGCAGGCTGTCTGTGCCCTGCCGCAGAGCTCAGCTGCTTCTTTCTAGGGACCACACAGCCACACATAAGGTCAGGATGGCCTGGAACACACTGTGTAGCCAGGCTGGCCTTGAACTTGTGACCCTCCAGCCTCAGCATCTGGAGGGCTGGAATGATAGGTGTCTGCCACCATGCCTGGTTCTGGATCAGACAGTAATGTCCTTATCTGTGTGTTGTGCTGCAGGATGATCAGCTGGGGAGAAGCCACAGTACGAAGAATGTGACCTTGGGACCTGTGCAGGTCCTCTGTGACCCAGAGGGGCCCCAGGGATCTGGCATAACTATGTAGAGAAAAGGCATTGGGCGAAGCCTATTTAGCCAGGTGTGGTGGTGCATTCCTGTCATCCTAAGCACTGGGGAGGCTGAGGCAGGAGGATAACAAGTTTGAAGCCAGCCTTCAAACTTGTGAGTTCAGGGCTGGTATGGACTACTTGATGTGACCCTGTTTTTAAAAACATTAAAAAAAAGAAAAATAAGTCTTAGGTGTCTCCTGAGGGGCCAAGCACAAGCTGGAGCCTGTGGCCAACTTGAGTGTCCCCTGCTGAGAGCAGGGTACAGTGCTGTGGGGCTACTGTTCCTCTGGACAGGTTTGAGTGAAGGACAAAGGTCACAGCCCCATGAGGAAGAGCTGGGTTCCAGGGCCACGCTGCAGAAGGCAACGGGCACTCAGATGACCACCGGTGGACTAAGTGTCTGAGCTGACTGTGGGGCTTTGGTCAGTGGGGTCCAGGGACACAGAGAAGCTAGGCTGAGCCTGGGGCTAGACAGCTGGAGAAGCCCCTGTGTGGGCAGGAAGAGCCCTGCTGGGACTTGGTGGCTGGGGGCCAGGCCAGGCGGTCAGCAGGACCCATAGGTTCTTTGGGGGCCCAGGAGAGCTGAGGAGATGGCACGGCCTTGCCTTGACCGTACTTTGAATTACCAAAGGTGGCTTCTGGCCAGGAGGGCCCTCAGAGATTGGCTGCCGTTCCCAGGTTGGTTTTTGCCAGCTCGGCTTAAGCAAGCCGCTTTGTTGGCACCTTCCAGGGCCACAGGGTGGCGGAGCTCATCCTGCACCATGCCAGGGCCAGCGAGTGCAGGGATGTGGAGGGCTTCAAGGCTGAGATGGCTGCACTGGTGACCCAGGCCCGGAAGAACAGTGTCACTCTGGAGAAGGTGGGTGGTGCCCAGGGCTGTGGGAGCCTGCTGCCTGGGGAGCCGCAGAGGGGCTCCTGTGGGCACTGTCCTCTCGGAGTCTGTGCAGGGACCCAGGGTTGGAAGTGCTTGGAAGGCTCCACATCCCCACCAGCCTCACTCCTCTCCCCAGCTCCACGTCTCCAGCCTCCTCTCCAGTGTCTTCAGGTTGCTGATGACTCACAAGGTGAGGCCCCAGGATGGGAGGTGCTGGGAAGCTGGCAAGGACAGGGTATTGGGTGGGCCTTCAGCACAGGCGCCTCTGGGCCTGTCCTTCCTTCAGAGCAGGGCAGCTCTCGGTGGTCAGTCTGAGTATCTGTGACAGTTAGAGCTAGGGAAAATAGATTTAAAACACTCTAAAAGCAGCCAGGAGCGATGGTGCACACCTGTAATCCCAGCTACTTGGGAGGCTGAAGCAGGAGGATCAAGCAGTTTAGCAAGCTGGGCTGTGCAGACTTGGGAGGCCCTTGTGTGAACCTTGAGAGGCCTTGTCCTGTCAGGCCTGGCTGACCTGGCTGTGGGGCGGGAGGTGTAGGTGGAAGGTGGAAGTCCCAGAGTGGTGACACGGGACGGGGAGGTCCCAGGGGGAACCACTGCTTCCTTCTGTTGCAGGTGAAGCTGGAGAGCAACTTTGCCTCTATTGTGTTTGCCATCATGGTGCTGGAGGGGCTGGGCCGCTCGCTGGACCCCAAGCTGGACATCCTAGAAGCAGCCAGGCCCTTTCTCATTCCTGGGCCTGTGGCCCGAGCCTGATGGGTGTCACCTGGGCACCGAAGGCCACTGTCAGGGTTCCTGGGGCCCACTACCTCCCTCTGTCCTGGCCCAGGGTCTGCATGGCTCAGGGTCACTGGAGAAGGGCCGAGTACTCCACAGCAGGAGCTGGGACAGTGGAGATGGGGCTGAGGACACAGATTCTGAGGAAATGGCCTGCAGAAGAGGACAAATACACATGGCGGTTTTTGTTTTCCTGGCTTTTTCTTTCTAACTCTCTCTATACTCCCTTGTCAGGTGGATTCTGCTGGTGGTTTTCACTCTTAACATTTAGGTTAGAAAATGCCATTAATTCCTGGAATCCTGTGCTTTCCCTCCTTCCCTCTCCCGCTCTCTTTCTGAGGCTGGTTCTGAACTCTCTATGTAGCCTAGGCCAGTCTCGAACTCATGCTGATCCTCCTGCCTGACTCCTGATTGCTGGTGTAATGGCACAACCTGGTCTGTGTCTCATGAGGTCAAAGAAGGAAGCCAAGGAGAAGGGAGGTAGATAGGAGGAAGGTTTACTAAAAAGAGAAATGGCTTCCAGTAGTGGGGAGGAGGGACCCAAAACTGGGTTGCCCTTTGTCTAGGAATTTTAATACCAAACACTGACCAGGGCTCAGACTCGCCAAGCCAAGCCGAGGTCAATCCATAGACTAAACCCAGCTTACTTAAACCAGCACTGAGCCAGTGAGGATCAGGCATGCAGGAGTCCGAGTGCGGCTGAGGTATCTCCTGGGCTCTCTCCTAGCCAGGTGCTTCACTAAAGCAACAAAGTGAGAAGGAGAAAAATGTTTTCCGGCTAAAACGGAGCAGAGTTGTCACAGTGATATCAGTCACCATGCTGTCTCCTCACTCATTGCACCCTGGACTTAACATCCACCTGGTTCTTGTTGACTGTTTTTTTTTTTCGTTTTTATCGGTACCGGGGATCGAACTCACGACTGCCTGCTTGCAAGGCAGGCGCTTATACCGCTGAGCTAAATCCCCAGCCCCTCTTGTTGACTCTTGACCCCAGGCTTTTGCTTAGCTGGCCAACGCCTGGTCATCCTGGCTCCCTGGGGCCCGGAGCCTCTGGCTCCCTGTGTCTTCTACCTGACTTGCCTGCTTGTAATACAGGCATGAGTCCCCATACTCTGCCTCTATTTTTTTTTAATTAAAATTTTTTCTTGATACAGGGTCCACTATGTAGTTCAGTCTTGAACTTGAAGCAATTCTTCCTCAGCCTCCCAAGTGCTGGGATTACAGGTGTGCCACACACCATGCCTGGGCTTTTTTTATTTTTTTTTAAACCTGTATACCCTTATTGCTAAAAAGTTGCAAACACATACCTACACATTTATACTTTTTATATAAGGTGCCACCACTAGTAGCATCACTGAAGGCACAATATAAAATTCGGGCAAATTTCACTGCATTTTGAATTATCTTGACAAATGTTAACAGTTTTGGTTGAGTTTTTGCTAGACTTTTTTACAAAGTAAACAGGAGATAGTGGGGCCGGGGAGGCAGCTCAGGGGAGCAGCCCTGACCCAGCCCACACGGTGTCAGTATCTGTGTTTGTCCCTAAGAATAAAAATTAAAAAAAAAAATTTTTTTTTTAAAACAGGGTCTCACTGTGTAGTTCAGGCTGGCCTCAAACTCATGGTGATCCTGCTGCCTCAGCCTCCTGAGTGCTAGGATTTTAGGTCTGAGCCATCACGCCTGGCTGGCAAGCTAAATTTTTTTTTTTTTTTTGCAAATCCATTTTATTCAAGGATAAAAAGGAAAAAAAAAAAACTACAGTGAAATTTGAAAACACATCATTCAGGGACAATGGTACATACACTGTGCATTGCCATCTCCAAATCATTCACCCAGAGCATAGAACATCTGCATTAGATTGTCTGAGCAATACCAGCACAAATTTTTCTCTTCAGTAAACTCAGAGAAATCAGTAGTTAACTATCTTACTATTTTTATATACATATACATATACATGTTTCAGCTTGTCACACTAATGAAACAATTGATGTTTACATGTGTGCTTATTTCACTAATGAGTGTGTTCCCAAGTTGCATGCATTTACCTATAAGTGTTCAGTTAGTCTTCTTTATGGCTGAGTGGTACTCTGTTGTATACAGATACCACATTTTTTTTATCCATCCCTCAGTCAATGGGCATTTGGGTTGTTTCCAAGATCTGGCTATTATAAACTATGCTGCTATAAACATGGGTGCACATATGTCACTGTGGTATGATGTTTTTAATTCTTTTGGGAAGGTACCCAGAAGGGGAATAGCTGGGGTGAATAGGACCTCCAATCCTAGTTTTTTGAGGAATCTCCACACTTGATTTCTACAGTGATTGTACCGGTCAGGCAGGCTTAATTTAACCAAACCTGGAGATTCCGAGAATAACTATAACTCATCTTGGGAGATCTGTGAATTTGAGGGAAGGACACATTCAGAGAGGGTTGGTCCATGCAGGATCAATTAGAAGGTAATATGGAAAGAAAGGCCACAAATCCAAGCTGGCTTACGGTCAAGGTATTAGAAGGCTTCTTGGGGCCCTACCCTCACTTAATTTGAGTAACTGGGGGTTGGGTTTCTCAGGTGATTTTAATTCCACCAGTCTGTGGCTGTGAACATGAGAACCACCGGCTGCTGGTTAGTATCTAGGTTCGGAAACTAAAACAAGGCTAATGATATGGTTGTGAGCCTCTTAGAGGACAGAAGAGTACAACAGCTTAACTTTGTGGAGGTGCACTGGCTGTGTCCATTCACAGATATGTGGCCCTGTGGAGCAAAATCCTAGAAAACTGCCACAATCCTAGAAACTGCAGGAGGACTTTTGTGTCCTTCCTGCAGGAGGTGGGGAACACATACCTGGGCTTGTCCTTCCTGAAGGAGGTCTTGGAATTCCACTGCCCCAACGTCACCAAAGCCATCTGGAGGATCTTCCACATGATGTACAGGTCCTGGTCTGAAGAATTCCATGTGCAGAGCTGTAGGAGGAGGTGGACAACTGTTGGAGTTCTATTGGTACTTTATTTCTTTGATACAGGGTCTCACTAAGCAGCTCAGGCTGACCTTGAACTCACTTTGTAGCACAGGCTGTCCTTGATCTGTGTTCCTCCTGTCTCAGCTTCCTGAGTGCTGGGATTAGAGGCACTTGTCACCACACCTGGTCCCTAGGAGCACTTCTCTGTCATCTACTACAAGTTTTGGGAGCTCAACACCAACCATGACCTTTTCTTGAGATGCACGACCTGACATAAGGACCATGCCAATTCTGCCAAAATATCAGTAGGATCATCTCAGGAGCCATGACTCTGGGGAGGAAGATACAGAAGATCAGCTATGCCAACTTCTCTGGTTTTTGTCTCTGAAGAGGCCAAGAAAAAACTGACCAGCATCAAGTACTGGTTCTGCTGCATGGACCTGGCCATGGACTGGACACTGTCCATGTCTGAGCTGTAGTTCTATGAGGAGCAATATGGGCAGCTAGATAGTCTGAGCATGGAGGCACTGTCTTTTCAGGGCTGCCTGTGCCAGAGAGGATCTCAAGCTGCAGTGTCCAGGGAGGACCACACTGGGATATGAAGCCGTACAATATGGCCAGCATCTTCAACATAGAGAAGTGCCTGGAACATACAAAGAGTAGGCGTCCCTGCTCAGGGAGAGCAAGAGTGAGGGCCCAGAGCTCTCTAACTGGGAAAGGTTTGCTGCTGAGGAATACGCCATCAGACCACGGGTAGGCGGTGGTCCCTTTTGGCCCAGGGACCTTTCTTAAAGGCGCGTGGACCTGTAGGGCTATGTATGTGAGGATGAGGACCTGGAGCTCTCTTGACGTCCCATGGCCTTATAAGAAACCACCAGCGCTCTGTCTTCTGTAGGAGCGGCGGCCTGCCATGGAAGAGAACCAAGTTACTCCGGCAGATCTCAGGTACGTGTGTTGGTGACTTGGAGACACAGCAGCACCCACACTCCACCCAGCCTTGGAGTCTGGTGCTACCTTGACACACACTTGCTCACGTCATTAGTATGTGGCGGGACATTCCATGGCCCCGGGGTGTGGTGGCCTCGGCGTCCTCCAGGCGCCCCCAAGGTGTGTGTGGCTGTGGCCGAGTGAATACCTTAGGGACGCATTAGCGCCCGAGGCGATCGGCTCCAGGTGTATGGATGACATTTTTTGTGCTCGTGTTTTTATTTTTGAATAAAGACTAAGAGTTAAAAAGAAAGTTCCGAGGGTTCTGAAAGGACTTGGCGGTAGCCACAAGGGTCCAGAAGGCAATTATCATAGGAGAGGCAGACGGCACGGCAGGTGCACATTCTAAAACACCTCGATCAACCAAAGTTGAGTTAGTGTTGGAAATTTCTTGGCTCAGGCGTTAACAAGAGGCTCGCCACACCAAGTCACGAGGGAGCCCCTGCATCGGGCTCCCTTAGGGGGCCTTCAAACAACCACCAAAGAGAGGGGGTTCAGCCGTGTATCTCACAACAGCCGCATCCTCCCTCCCAGAGATCTAACGCGCCTGCGTCGCCTGACTTGCAGCACGGCGATGCCGTGACGTAATGGCCCACGCGGCGCCGGGGAGTGACGTGTGGGGCGGGGCTGGGACAGCGGTCGGACACGGGGAGCATGTCGGCTGTCACCCGGCTGGCCCCTTTCTCACGCGTAGCAGGCTGTCTCTTGCGAGGTGGTCGCGCGCGGCCTGCCGGAGGCGGTGGAGTGCGGCAGTGAGTTGTTTGAGTGGTGGCGAGGGTTCTGGCGAAAGGCGCGGCGCTCAGACGCGCTCACCTTGAGGCCGGAGCGGGTAGTGGGGGTGCGTCCCTGCGTTTCCTCAGCGCTACGCATGCTGGGTCTTGTGGTCCTCCTGGGATCGGCGGTTGGGATGTGCAACCTGGGATGATGCAGGAGGGACACGGTGGAAACGAGTTTAGAGACCAGTGGGTCTGAATTAGGACTAGAATTTTACCAAAGAAGCATAGATAGCCAGGAGAGCCATTAAAGCAGGAAAGTAATATGGTCTGATTGTTTTTAAAACGTATTTAAAAATCCTATGTTGGAGCAGCCATTATTTCTTTCTTTCTTTTTTTTTTTTTTTTTGTCTTTTTCGTTTTTATCGGTACCAGGAATCGAACTCACGACTGCCTGCTTGCAAGGCAGGCGCTTATGCCGCTGAGCTAAATCCCCAGCCCCCAACCATTATTTCTTTGCATATTATTATTATTTTTTCATCTTAGTGGCTTATGTTTTTTTTGTGAGGTCGTTTTCCCTGGTGCTTTTATCTGTCGAATTTTTTGAGGCCTTTGCTTCTCGTATGTAGACCGAGGGCGCCACCATTCCAAAATCACTTTAAGTTCCTGGGTGGGGTTTGGACCACAAAGCGGTCCCCCCCCCCCATTTAAGTGTAGATTTGGGTGCAAATCTACTTGATTGGCTTCCGGTAACAAATTTTTTTTTTTGCTTTCTCATTCATCTTTTTGCTATTAGAATCTGCCCAGTCCGGGGGCTCCCGACCCACAGCCTTTTGTAGCTGTCAGGGTGGAAGTTCCAGGACTCCTGATGACTGCTAGTAGCTTCAGCGCTTGCTAGATCCCCAGATATTTTCCTCCGCAGCACTGGAGCTCAAATCCCGGATCTCAACCACTGAACAACATCCCAGCCTTAAACTTGTTCTTTACCATCTTCCCAGCCCCTATCCTCCGCGGTGTCTGGGTGCAAGGGATCTACCAAGGGCCTGGCACACCCACTAAGGCAGTGCTCTTACACCAAGCTGCATCACCAGCTGCAGGCTTTGTTTTTACTTGAATTTTGCTTTCGGTAGAGACCTTAGTTTTGTAGGTGGTGGTTAAGTTTTGGAAAACAAATGTTCAAAAAAAACCATTATATGTATGTATCTATCTTTGGGAAGTTGTGCGGGGTATTTAGTTGCCACAGTGGAGTTAACATGGTTCAGGTGGTAACAGTCATTTAGATGTTTGTTGAATTTTTGCATTCATTAATCATGACATTGTGGGTTTTTTTTTGGTGCCGAGGATCAAACTCACAAACTTGTGCTTATGCCGCTGAGCTAAATCCCCAGCCCAATCATGACAATTGTTATGCCATGGGTTTTCTTTTCTTTTTTTTTTTTGAGACAGGGTCTCAATATCATATATGCAGATATATGCAGATATATGCAGATATATCCTGTGTAAATACTATTGGATTTTTTTTTTTTTTGGTCTTTTTCCTTTTTATCGGTACTGGGGATCGAACTCACGACTGCCTGCTTGCAAGCCAGGTGCTTATGCCGCTGAGCTAAATCCCCCGCCCCGTAAATACTATTTTTTTCCCCCGTAAATACTATTAATATAATTGATATATGAGGTCAGCACAGTTCAAGGCAAGCCTGGGCTACATAGCAAGATCAAGAACTGCCTGAACTGCCTAGTGAGACCTTGTCTCAAAAACTAAAAAGCCAAACAAAACCCAGAACCAAACTGTAGGAACTTTGCAGTTCAGAATCAGTAGCACATTATGAAAAAAGCAAATTTTAATGCACTTTTGGGACGTGCTATACAAGAGAATTTATATTATGAGCTGATTATTATCTGGACTAAAGTTGGAAACATTTTATATAGGAATTCTTCAAATTTTGTATCCTTTTCTGTGAACTAGCATATATTTAGCTGCTGAAGACTTTAAATTCTTTTTTTTTTTTTTTTTTTTTTTTTGTCTTTTTGAGACAGGGTCTCGCTATGCAGTTCAGGCTGGGCTTGGGCTCACTTTGTAGCCCAGGCTAGGCTCAAACTTGCAACAGTTCTCCAGTCTCAGCCTCCCAGTGCTGGGATTTCAGCAGTGTGCCACCATACCCGGCACATCTTTTGGTTTTTTGAGACTTGGCGTGGGGTGGGGGTGGGGGTGGTGAGGGTGTCTCAAATGTAGTTCAGGCTGGCCTTGAACTCAGTGTGTAGCTCACATTAGCTTTGAATTTGCAGTGATCCTCCTGTCTCAGCCTCTTGAGTACTGACTGGGACTACAGCCATAAGCCACCACATTTGGCTGAAGAGCATTTTTTTTTTTTTTTTTTTTTTTGTCTTTTTTCATTTTTATCGGTACCAGGGATTGAACTCACGACTGCCTGCTTGAAGGCAGGCGCTTATGCCACTGAGCTAAATCCCCAGCCCCTGAAGAGCATTTTTAGAAATAGCTTCATTAAGTGTAAATTATGTTGTTATAGTCAACCCATAATAGTTGCAGTCCAACTGAATAAACTATAGCTTTTATGAATTGTGTGCCACAATTTGTCAGAAGTATCTTGAGTGATACTGGGGCTGTGGGTTTAGTTCAGTGGCGTAAGTGCCTGCCTGGCAAGCAAGAGGTTGTGAGTTCAATACCTGGTACCAAAAACAAAAACAAAAACCCACAGAAACTTTACTCAGACTTGAATGTTTCCTTGTTTTGTTTGGAGCTATTAGCAAGTTAGGATTTGTGGATCCTCTTTCCTCTTATACTACTAGTCTTTCAATAAAGAACGCAGTAGGGACAAAGGACATAAGTTGTTTCTCAAATAGATGACTAAACAGGAAAAAATTAGTTTGTTGATTTCTTTTTTTCTGAATAAATTAGTGACCTCCAGATTCACAATCCCTTAACCAAAACTTTTGGGAGCCAGCACGTCATAGTTAATGCATTCATATTTTTGGTGCAAAATAATGCACATTCACTAAATGAAAACTGTAGTTACCTTGTCAAGGCTGGCATTTCTTTTTCCTTTTTCTTTTGAGATGGTCTTGCTGTGTATTTAGACTGGCCTTGACTCACATACATAGCCGACGCCAGCCTTGAACTCATGGTGATCCTCTTGCCTCAGTCTCCAGAGTGCTGTGATTACAGACGTGCGCTACCATGCCTGAGAACACTGGCATTTCTGCCGCTGTTTGTAAAGCAGGCTAAAAAGTGTGTCACAGGATTTCGGGCTTCTATCACTGTCTGTATTTTGGTGGAAGAGATGTAACTCAGAAGTTTTGGATGACTTAATACTTAGAAAGTATAGCAGGTGTTTCCCACAGTGTTTTGTCTCCTAGTGCTGGTAGTGGTGCACACGCCTCGCCCCGGTACAGAGAGTGTCCCCAGCCCTCCAGGTACCGGGTGATCCAGGCCGAGATCTTAAGCGCAACCATGTGGTTCTGGATTCTCTGGCGCTTCTGGCATGACTCGGATGCTGTGTTGGTAAGTACCACTGTAGAGTGGTTCTCGACCTTTTTGGATTTGGGGCAGGGAAGATCTATTGATAGCTTATTTTTCTGTTTGAAGACCATTTTTCTGTGTGGGTGTATCCCTTCACTACTATGTTGCCCATATATATGTGCAGGAATCATGTTGCTTATGAAACTTGTTGCCTTCTGAACTATTGTACATGGTAATGTACATCTGGATTGGTTATGTCTCATGGGTTCTGATAGATTGCTGACTTTGGAAAGGGGAGTAGAAATGAATTTGCTTGGGGGATTGCTGACTTTGTAAAGGGGAGTAGAGATTAATTCTCTTGGGACCGGGGATGTAGCTCAGTGGTATAAACACCTGCCTGGTAAGCATGAGATTGTGAGTTTGATCCCCAGCACCAAAAAAACAAAAACCAAAACCCCAACTTATATTAATTCTCAGGGACTGGGGATTTAGTTCAGTGGCTAAAGTGCTTTCCTAGTGAGCGTGAGGTTGTGAGTTTGATCCCTGGTACACACACCCCCCCCCCAAAAAAAAAAAAAATGAAAGAAAGAACTGTTGGGTATGGTTCACATCTGCCCAGAGGATCAGGGCAGCCAGCATTGGGTGGGAGAGATGTGGGTTATTCTGTCTTGAGAGCAAAATTAGTTGTTGGTGGTTTCTAACCTGTGGTTAGCCTCAGCTGAGCTCTCATCATATCTGCATAGACTCCATTCTCTAGGAAATTACAGCTTTGACATTGAGTTCTGGGGCTGGGTGTGTAGCTCAATGACTGAGTATGTGCCTAGCATGCAGGAAGTCTTGTGTTCAGTCCCTACCACCAAACAGAATTTTAACCAAAAAGATACTGAAGTCTAGAATACTTTAGATTTTGGTATATATGGGCTTCTTTTCAGACTAGGAACAATGCCCCTCCCCCCCCATTTAAACATTATGCAAGTGTTAGAAGCATGCAGTTGCTTAATATCCCGTTTCTCTTAGAACTTGGTTCCCTAGTGTCAGGAAGGAGCTGCCTGGGTGTCTGAACCCCGTTCGACTGTAGGTCAGGTGTTAGGAGTAGAGATGGCTGTAGACATCAGGTAGTGATGTACCCAGGTATGCCTCTACTCTGGATTTGAGATACTCATGTCCACTTGAGGCTCCCATGTTTCACAGCAGAAATAATAGGGGAATTTCAAACAGTTTTCTTTTTCTTTTTTTTTTTTTTTTGTCGTCTTTTTCTTTTTATTGGTACCAGGGATTGAACTCATGACTGCCTGCTTGCAAGGCAGGCGCTTATGCCGCTGAGCTAAATCCCCACCCCTCTTTTTATTTTTTGAGACAGGGTCTCATTCTATAATTCAGGCTGGCCTTGAACTCATGGAAACCCTCTTGCTTCAGCTTCCAGAGTGGGATTACAGGTGTACACCATCATGTCTGGCGAATGAAACATTTGTATCTTTTCAGAACTTCGAGGCACTGCTGAGGTGTGGAATATCCCTGAAATCTGTTGCCTCCATCAAAAGCACTAGTGGCTTAGGTTGGGACCCTGAAATGGCCCCTGTGCAGTTACACATTGAAGAGTTGGGCCATGATTGGTCAGGGCCTGCATGTGTGGCAGTTAGGTTTATGACTGCTATTTTTTTCTCTGTGGTTTCTTTTGCAGTTGATGGCATCTGGTAAAGATTCTTGACTTTATTCTTTCTTGAATGATTGTCCCCAGGGTCACTTCCCATATCCAGACCCTTCCCAGTGGACGGATGAAGAGTTAGGGATCCCTCCTGATGATGAAGACTGAAGTGTGGGCTCCGCTCTTTACAAGGAGGTATGCCTTGAGTTCCTGTTCTTAAAGTCTCAGTTACCGTTTGTCATAAATCACCCCCGCAAATCCATTTTATTTCATGGAGAAAAAGAAAAGGAAAAAAAACCACCTAAAACAAAATTTCAAAACACATCCATCAGGGGCAAGGATGATACATACATTGTGCATTGCCATTCCCAAATCAGTCACCCAGAGCATGAGACGTCTGCATTTAATTGTCTGAATAATACCGGCACAAATCCCTCTCCAGCGAACTCAGAGAAAACTGTAGTATTACTATCTTCGCTGTTTTTTATATACATACACGTACACATACACATTTGTTGTTTCTTTCAGCTTCTCACACTAATGAAGACAATTTGATGTTTACATGTATGTGTCTTATTTCACTAATGAATATGGTCTCTAGTTGTATCCATTTATGTATAAAAATCTCCAGTTTATCCTTCATAAACATTTGTTTTGACTTGTATCTTTGACAGTCTGGGGAAACTGTTTGTTTTTCTTTTTTTTATTTCATTTTCGTTTTTTGTTGGTACTAGGGGTCGAATTCACGACTGCACACTTGCAAGGAAGGCTGTCATTTAAAAATACCTCGAATATTAGCAGAGTGTGGTGGCATATGCCTGTAATCCCAGTGCTTAGGAAGGATACTGAGGCAGGAAGGTCACCATGAGTTCTAGGACAGCTTGAATTACAGAGCAGACTTTCACAAAACAAAACAGCCCCTCCCATAAGCTCCCCAAATACCTTGAAACTTCTAATTTCTTTTGTCTTTTTGAGACAGGGTTTTGCTATGAAGTTCAGGCCAGCCTCAAACTCTTGGCAATCCTTCTGCGGCAGCCTCCCAAGTGCTGGAATTACAGGCGTGTGCCACTATGCCCAGCTTCATTTATTTATTTTTTTGATAACGAGTATAAACTAAGAGAAAGGATGATTTTGCTTCTCATTTCTATAAGTCTGTCACATGATCAGAGTTTGGTAAATGCTTGAATACTGTAATTCAATGAAATTGTGGGTCTGGATTAGTAAATATAAAAGCACTTAAAGCTTTCCACTTTTGTTTTCCTACAGGAGCCAGGTGAAAATGTCAAGAAATACAGACTTCCTATTGTAGATTAAAGTTGTAAATTAAAGCAGTTTGGCCAAGAATGTGGAGCTGAGTCCTGTTTTTGATAATGACAAGCACGTTTTATTTTCTGTGCCCTTTCAGCTGAGCCTTGTGATGTCCCAGGATGTAGACATGTGCAGCTTCATTTATAAGTGAGGGAATGGAGGATGAGGTGGAGTTACTTTTTTTTTTTTGTCTTTTTATTGGTACTGGGATTGAACTCAGGACTGCCTGCTTGCAAGGCAGGCACTTATGCCGCTGAGCTAAATCCCCAGCCCCTGAGGTGGAGTTACTTGCTTTAGCATCTCACACTGCTAAGTGGGGAGTTTGGGTGTGAGCCGAGTGCAGGAATGACAGCGCCACCCTGCCTGCTGCCTCACTGTCTCTGTCACTTGTGGTGGCTGTAATGAGGCCCACTTGAGCTGTTTCTCCCTCTGGGTATGCAGAGGTTAGGTCAGAAGTCAGTATAGCCACTCAGTGTTTCTGCATCTTCTGTGGGCTGGGCATTCCGTTGTCTTTCATAGCACTCTTGAATCTCTGCTTGTTTTTTTGGTACTGAGAATCGATCTCAAGACCTCATGCTTGCCAGGCAGGCCTTGAGCTGCTGAGCTAACTCCCTGGCTCCCTTGAATCACTTCTAACAAGTTCTAAGGGCCAGAGAAATGGGAGATAAGGATAAAACAGGATTTTTCTTTTTTTCTGAAATTTATTTCTAGATATTCTCCAGCATCCTGTAGTGCCAAAAAATCTGAGTTGTCAGGACAGAATTTCCGTCTGTGGGTGGATAAAAATCTTCAGTACAGTGCAGCTTGATGACTTACTTGCTTGGAAGTGCAGCTCTTCATTTCTTTATCTAGAGTCTTTTGTGCTCAGCAAGGAAGGAGAGCCAGGTCTGAGTGTGTCAGGCTGTGTCACAGGTTTAGATTTTACACTAAATGCAGTCAGCTGTAGGCAGAGGTGAGACACGGTGTGATGTTGAGCCCCGTGCTTTCTGCTTCCCCTTGCTACTCTTCAGTTATGCAGAGAGGCCGCAAGCAGCAAAAGCTGAGGCAGGTGACATGCCTGGCTCTTGCTCCGGAGCTCTAAGCCGCAGAGCTATGACGGGTGCTGCAGACACTTCCCTCAGGCTTGCAGTCACTATTCTGTGTGAGGGGAGCTGACTCTGCCACCAGGGCTTTCTTTTGTAGATCTTATTTTCTGCCCCTCATATGATTAAAATTTGTTTTGAGAGGAATGTAATCAACAGTAAAATTAAGTAGGTAATTCATTAGCTCTTTTCCTAAGAAATCAGTTGCTTCACTTGAATTAAAAGATAACTTTATTTTTAAAATTCATTTATTTTTATTTTAAAGAATAAATTAAGCAAAATAAAACAATAAAACCAATCAAAACAAACTAGTGTAAGTCACGTAAGACTTCAAAACAATATGAAGTCAACAGTGGTTACCATAATGCCTTGCCTTCAAAATAACTGCAGATATTTTCAGACATAGTAAAAATCAAACAAAATAGAACTGAATAGAACCAATAAAAACAAAATAATGCAATAAAGGACTTCAGGGTAAGATGTAAATCCAAAATGGTTACCATAATGTATCTTGTTATCTTTGAAATAGCTGCCCATGCCATCGGATATAATAAAATCAAGCAAAACAATAAAACCCAACCCAATAAAACAATGAGAATGATACAGGACTTCAAAATAATAATTAACAAATGCTACTACCTTCAGAAGGAGATCCCCCATAGGTGCTACATTGCGTATTGTTATCCTCTGAATAGATAATCCGACCACTGGCCCTAGACCTGCAAACCAGTGAAATACTATAAACACTACAAGCATTAAATTGTGTTTTACCTCAATAGCTATCATTGCAGCCTGTGTTTCTCTGGATCAGCTGGCTGCTTACAGAGGTTTGGTGTGGTGGTGTGCACTGGAAGGGGCTGGCATCTGGCTCTTCCCCCAGCAGCCCACACGTGGCACTGATTTGCAGAGAAGACTTGCTTATTGGTGACTTCTTGTTTTCTTCCCCTGCAGTCCAAGAATGGCACTGACTCATGGGACTTTTGTCTTTTTGAGACTGTTTCACTATGTAGTTCAGGCTGGCCTTGAACTTGTAGTAATCCTGCTTCAGCCTCCTGAGTGCTGGGATTACAGGTGGGCACCACCATGCCCAGCCTTAAAAGATAACTTCAAAGGTAGATTTGTTGTTGTTTAAAATATAAAATAACATTCCCTGGCCAGAGAAATAGCTCAGTGGTACAGCACCTGCCTGGCAAGTGTGAGGTCCTGAGTTTGATTTCTGGTACCCACAAAAGAAAATTTTCTACTCTTGGGTTGTTAAATGAGTTTGTGCACTCAGGAAACTGTACCAGGCTTCTCAGAGGAATGGGCCTCCACACTGCTGCATAGTAAGTGAGAAAAACACTTCAGTGGGAGGGTGCCCAAGGGACTGTAGTGATTTGACTGATGGCAGTATATAAAGGAAGCAGCAGCAAAAGCACCCTGTGGGCCAGACACCTTGGTAAATATCTTCTGTGCTAATGTATTTAATCCTTATTTCCATTTTCTAACGTGCACGGGTTAGGTAAATTCACCAGGCTTACATAGGTCCTGGAAGAAATGAGATTCAAATCTTGGATATGTCTAGGTGGAGTTGGACTAGGTAAGAGTAAGCGGAGTTTGATCATGTATTAGAATAAACTTCCTGTGTGTTTACATACCTAATAGAACAGCAGTGTTTCAAAACCTGTGATGCAGATTTTTCCTCTTTAGTCTGCTCCACACATTTAAGTCTGTCTACTAGGGGTCTCTACTTGTAGTTTGAAAACCTGTTACAGTGTTTCAGGAGCTGAGGCTCTGGAGTCAGACCTTTTGGATCCCAGTCCTAGGTCTGCCATTTACTTGCTGTCAATTTGGGCAAATTATAGTGCTTACTTTGATCTGTGCCTCAACTTCCTCATTAGTCAAATGGATTAAGAGAGTTAACATGTAAAGCTCTTAGAGCTTACCTGTCACAAAGGAAGCAGTTGTGAGTTCTAGACCACTGTGTTTAGGCTATTTCTGGTGACCCTGCTTTCCTAACTGGATTTTCGAAGGAAAGCCTCTGTATGTGGACAGATTCTGAGTATTCAATGGTTGCAGTGCTGCTTGCTCTCTGTCCAAAACAAGCAGGGCAAAACTAATGCACTGTCTGTTTCTCTTCCTGTTGAATAGCTGGAAGTTTTAGGTATGTAGAAAGGTACTCTTGTGAATGGGAAGGTTGGTGGTGAAAGAATCCCTGACATCAGGTGTCAAATTTCAGGACACATAACTTTCCTGGTTTCCAATGGAAGTGACAACATAAACAATACAACTGTTTACAAAGTTATGCAACATACATGGTATGTGAGGAGTGCTGCCTATTACATGAACATACAGAAGCCTTGGTTCTGCTGGTCCCTGGAACTAACTCTGTAGAAAAAGTTGAGTGTTGCCTTCGGACATCAGCTCAGGCTCATCAATCAAAAGAAATGGGAGCCTCCACACTGGCATAATGACCTGTTTCTGCTCTGGGCCTTTGCTTTCTATCACTGCATTGGCAGTGGATGGTGTAGACCTTGCAGTGTCCATTTCAGGCCTGATGAGGCCACCAACCATTTCTGTCCAGTTCCAATATCACCATCATGATCTTGGGTGGGCCCCTGGCTCTGTAAGTCTAGGCAATGCTTGTCCTTCAGGGTTTCCTGTTCAGTTACTGACATGAAAGGACTTGGGCCAGATTATCCTAAGAACTTATTGTGTACTGACATTTTACGGGGTTGGAAGACACAGCTGTGTGGTGATCTCAGCCCAATATTTTGGAAGAGCTAATATGGCAGTTTTTGCAGTAGCATTTTATGATAACCAAGACAACTATCATTGTGAGACAAATTTTAGGGAACACTTCTTGTATGAAACAGAAGAAGTAGGGCCACAATTACACAATTAAAATCATGAAGGTCATTTAGAAGATGAATTTCTACAAAGTAGTACAAAATTACATTTTTTAAAATGTTCAGCATCACTGATCATTCAAGAGATGCAAATTAAAACAACACTGAGATTCTCTTACCCAAGAAAGAATGGTAACATCAAGAAATCAAGCAATAACAAATGCTGGAGGGGCTGTGGGGAAATAGAACTCTTCTCCACTGTTGGTGGGAATGCACACTGATGCAACCACTGTGAAAATCAGTGTGGAGATTCCTCAAAAAACTAGGATTGGAGGTTCCATTTGACCCAGCTAATCCTCTTATGGGTATCTTCCCAGAAGAATTAAAAACAATGTACCTCAGTGATACATGTGCACCCATGTTTATGGCAGCAGTTTGAAATAGCAGAAACAGGTCATTATGCCAGTGTGGAGGCTCCCATTTCCCTGACTGATGAGCCTGAGCTGGTGTTGGAAGGCAACACTCCAACTTTTTCTATAGACTTAGTTCCAGGGACCAGTCAGAACAACCTAAATACCTATCAAGTGAGGAATGCATAAAAAAGATATAGTACTTTTATACAGCAGAGTACTACTCAGCCATAAAGAACAATCTTGAAACTTTTCTAGGTAAATGGATGTAACTTGAGTCAGTACTCAAGTGGAATAAATCAGACATGTATGTGTAAACATCATAGTCTCACTAGTGTGAGAAGCTGAAACATATGTATATTATATAATTATATAATACAGAAGTATAAACATAAATATGGTTAAGATAGTTATACTAATTTCTCAATTCTCTGATGAGAAAGGTTTGCGCTGGTATTGTTCGGACAATTAAATGCAGATGTCTCGTGCTCTGGGTGAATGATTTGGGGATGGCAATGCGCAATGTATGTACCATTGTTGTTCCAATTGTTGTGTTTTGAAATTTTATTCTCTTTGAAATAAAATGGATTTGGAAAAAAATTACATTTTTCAGATAAGGAAACTGTAGTTAAGGAAATACTTAGTCATGATGATATCTTAGGGTCGAGGACCTGAAAACATTCCTAAGCGTATGCCTTCTTGAGGACTTTTCTGTC